CGGGTCCCCTTCATCAGGCTCAGAAATAGCATTACATAAAAGGGCCACAACTTTTATATGGACATAATAGAATGTCATTTCTGAGCCTGATGAAGGGGACCCGGCCCGGCCAGGAAAGCTCTTGTCTTAGGAATGACAACTACCAATCAAATGGATTTGCAGTAACATGGGATCTTGGTGCCGGTGTGCTGGAGACATCTGTATTGTTGTTCATTTGTGAGCCGCGCCATCCGCAGTCATTACCGGCACCCGTTACTTTTGCTATATCTGGTAAGAAGTGCGGCAAGGTATATGGGCACTGCTTTGTACACTTATCTACAGAATGCATATCTGGGGACCTGCGGCACACTGGCAAGTTGTGATTAACTCAAATGTTGTGGGGGTGTGGGGGGGGGGGTGCATGTTATCTTTTTTTAATTTTTGTAACCGTGGCACCAGGCTGTCACAGGGCCAGGCTTCTGCAGACCCGCCCCTGGGATCTGCCCAGGCCAGGCGTAAGGACCAACCAACGACACCACCAAGATAAAGTTGAAGGATCCATCACATCACTGGACTGGTCTGAATACTGGAGAATGTATAGTGGGGTTCAAAGAGAAGATAAAATATTTCACAATCTCCCCGATGGGTGATTGGATGGTGTGCCCTCGGGGGGGTATGTTCCTAACTCCCTGGGCTCACAGGAAGTGGGTTGGATGATGCGGGGGGAAGATGAGCAGCACCAGACAGACCATGGAGTGGAAGGTTTATTGAAAAGTTTGTTATTTTGAGTTAAGGTCGGAGTTTGGTTTATCGTCATGGCGGCTTTTACTTCTCGCCGTGTTTATGATTTTATACGTCGTTTTAGTGTTTTTATTGATCATCGGCGGATCATTCATGAAAGTGTTATTAAAACTTCGAGGTAACACTAGATATACACATATATGGCTCACCTGTCAGATGCCGTACAACTGTAAGCAGTTGGGCGGTGCTAGCTGTCTCCGCTAGCTCCGCCCAAATCTTTATATGTTGCCGGCATCTGTAGTTGGTTTCCTCTTCCACATTGGTGTTGTCTGATGATGATTGAGGGGTTTAGCGTTCTGTCCTAATATATTGGTTCTGTCCAATAATTAGGCAGGTTTGGGCTGATGACACTGGGATTCGGGTTCCAGAGGAGAGGAAGGACTTATTTTTATAAAGAAAGTGTGTTTTGGTTGTTTTTTCCCCAAAATAAAGAATTTTAACAAAAGTCCGGCCTCTTTGTTGCAATTTTATTTAACCCTTTAGTGAATGGGCAGTGCAAGTACCTCTTACTCATTCACATCTGGAGGCGACATCTGGGTGCCCTTTTATTAAAGGGGTACCCTGATGTGAATAACTCCCCTTGTGGGGGCTTGTGGGGAAGAGGACCAGTGTGGCCACCTTAACCTGTGTGCTTCTTTTCTGGGTCCACACTCTGACCTGCAATGATCTGTGAGCGCACATGCACAGGCAGCCCCAAAGTCTTGACTCTAAGCCTATTCCTCCTCTCCACATTCCACCCCTGCTCTCCAAACCACTCCCCTGCTCTCCATGCCACTCCATTGCACTTCAAAGCACTGCAAGCCACTTCCATGCTCTCTAGGCCCCTCCTATGCTCTCTAGAACCCTTGCCTGTTCTCCATGACACTCCCCCACTGTCCAAGCCCCTTCCATGCTCTACACACCAGTCCCCTGCTCTCCAAGCCCCTCCTCTGCTCTCCAGGGCTCTCATATGTTCTCTAAACCCTATGCCTGCTCTACAAGCCCCTCCCCTGCTCTACAAACCAGCTCTCCAAGCCCCTCCCCTGCTCTGCAAGTCAATCATTTCTCTGCAGGCATCTCCTATGCTCTCTAAGCCCCATTGCCTGTTCTCCAGGCCACTCATACTCAGCACTGAGGGGTTCATGCTCAGCACTGCTGATGGCTGGATACAAAGTAACATCCTGGGAGTAATAATGTGAGCGGTTGTAATCCCCTCTCTGGGTCTCGCTTGGTGATGACTCGTCTCTGTGAAACACATTGAGGGCTCTGATGGGTCTCAGAGTGTTATAAATAAATCCTCCAAATAAAAGCTTCCCCCTAAAAGTCATACCGGACACTTAAGGTCTGGTAGGAATTTTGAGGGGGAATCCCACCCCCAAAAATGGGGGAAAAAACATGGGGCTCCCGCTAAAATTCCCAAGCAGACCCTTGATCCGAGCATAGGCCTGGCAGGGCCGGAAAGGGGGGGATGAGCAAGTGCCCCCCCCTCCCTCCCACACCAGCCCACATGCACTGGGAGGGTCACCCCTGGAAAAGCACCTTGTCCCCGTACCGAAGGGGACAAGGGCCTCTTCCCCACAAGCCCTGGGGTGTTGGTTGTGGGGGTGTGGGCAGAGGGGGGCTTTTTGGGCGGAGCTGGCGGTGACGGCTAGCTCCGCCCAACTGTTTGCAGGGCTTCTGACAGGTGAGCCATTAATGGGCAGAGACATCATGACTTTGCCCAATCATGGCTCTCACAGTTCTCTCTGCCCTGATTGGGCAAAGTCCTGCACCTAACCTATGGTCAAGTGCAAGGCTTTAGCCATTTAGGGCTTCACAGTGCCTTGTGGGGCGCTCGCGGGGGGCGAACAGCCCGCCGAACACACGAACCTTACCGATGTTCAAGTAGAAACCCATCCCATCACTAGTGACACATGAACAGAGATACACTGATCTACCGCAGACATGTCATTCAAGGACTCCAGCAGGTCAATGAAACTCCATCTTGGTTTTACCTCCAGTGACAGGAGGAGAAGATTCCATCATGTGATTGGTTGGTGAGGGAGAAGATTCCTGGAGGGGTGGACTCTGCTCCATCAGCCTTCTCTGACCATTATCTGTAGGCAACTGGACTTGCTGTATAATTAAGCCTTGACTTATTGTTTTACAGATATACCCTGACCTGGAGGAATGAACCTTCACAGACATATTCCCTGACCATTGATGGGAGGAATCTGATTGGACGGAGCTGGCACCTTCTTGGCCCCAAGCTCGGTTCCTCTGCATATTCCCTGACCATTGATGGGAGGAATCTGATTGGACGGAGCTGGCACCTTCTTGGCCCCAAGCTCGGTTCCTCTGCATATTCCCTGACCATTGATGGGAGGAATCTGATTGGACGGAGCTGGCACCTTCTTGGCTCCAAGCTCGGTTCCTCTGCATATTCCCTGACCATTGATGGGAGGAATCTGATTGGACGGAGCTGGCACCTTCTTGGCTCCAAGCTCGGTTCCTCTGCATATTCCCTGACCATTGATGGGAGGAATCTGATTGGACGGAGCTGGCACCTTCTTGGCTCCAAGCTCGGTTCCTCTGCATATTCCCTGACCATTGATGGGAGGAATCTGATTGGACGGAGCTGGCACCTTCTTGGCTCCTTCAGGAAGACGTCTGTCCCTCTGCGGGACTTCTCTTTACTCTTCACTTCCTAGACCTGGTGCCGGAGCTCAGAAGCATTCATCCAATGTAGGGAGCAGGAGGCGCCTATAACTGCACTGGGGTGAAAAAACTTTGGTAGATTTTTGATGGTAAAAAAAAACAAAACAAAATGACTGCAAAAAAACTTCAAAGGAAACATAAGTTTAATAAAATATATATCTCTGAACAGAAAATGGGTATTTAAAGCCCCCCCCCCCCATGCAATGGAAAGGGTGAGGAGTGTGTGCTATAGTCCTGTTCTAGGGTGACAACACTGCTCCTCCATAGTTACAGTACAGTGAGTGTTGTCACCCTAAGACAGGAAGTGTGTTACTGGCAGGATCATCCTGTGAAAATAATGCAGCCACCACATCTAAGGACCAATGGGCTACAATTGGTCACATTTTTATTCTCAGGTTTAGATATCCTTTACGCCGTTCCCTCCTCATTGATTGTTTCCTTCCAGGGAGGCTCCGGTGGAATGGTTAGAAGTCCCCGGATTTTCTACTTTGACTTGATTCCTTAGTGAAGAGCCTGCTGAGCCTGCTGCGGATTTGCTTTGTTTTAATCCCATAGATCAAGGGGTTAATCACGGGTGAAAACAGGAGATAGATATTCCCAAACAGGACGTGGAGATTGGGCATTGCGGTGCTCGGATACCGGTGAACTACGGCAATGCCAATGAAGCCCATGTAGAAGACGAAGACGGCACATATGTGGGCGGAGCAGGTGCTGATGGCCTTCAGACTGGCCTCGGCCACCAGGCAAACCACCATCTTTATGATCAGAATGTACGAGACGGTGATGAACACAGAGTCAACGCCCATGGCTGAGAGGGCAATAAACAGGCCATAGATGATGTTGACCCTTATGTCAGCACAGGCCAGCTTCATGGTCTCTTGATGGAGACAATAGGAATGAGTCAACAAATTGTTCTTAAACAAGGGAAGTCTCTTAATAATCAACGGCAGAGGGATCATCCCGGCTGCTCCCCTTAATACAATGGCCAGGCAGATATTTCTAATAGTCTTGTGCGTTAAAATGGCAGAATATCTAAGAGGGTAACAAAGGGCCACGCATCGGTCTACAGCCATGGCCACCAGTATCCCGGACTCCAGGGCAGACAGGAAATGGATGGAGAACATCTGGGTCAGACACGTATCGAAAGAGATGGCCCGGCTATCAAACCAGAAGATCCCCAGCATTTTAGGCATGACCGTGGTAGCTATCAAGATGTCCAGCGCTGAGAGCATGAAAAGGAAGATGTACATGGGCTCGTGAAGCTCTTTATCCACCTTAATGATACAGAGAATGGTGACGTTCCCCAGGATAGCCACAAGATAGAGTAAGACCAGAGGAAATCCGAACCAGAAATTAAAGTCATCCAGACCCGGTACACCGCTGAGAAGGAAATGATTGATACTGCTGCACGTTAAGTTGAGTGGCTCCATGATGACCTGTGTGCCAGCACGTCCAATCACAGGGAGGTCCATTATGGCCTTTGTGCCTCTCTGTCCAATCACAGGTGGCTCTTTGATGACCTTTGTGCCTCCACGTCCAAGCACAGTTGGCTCTATGATGACCTTTGTACCACCACGTCCAATCACAGGTGGCTCTATGATGACCTTTGTACCACCACGTCCCAGCACAGTTGGCTCTATGATGACCTTTGTGCCACCACGTCCAATCACAGGTGGCTCTATGATGACCTTTGTGCCACCACGTCCAATAGCTGAGGCCGCATCTTCTCCTGAAACAGAAAGTACATGACATTTAAGCATTATAGATAATACTGCCATTTTGGATTTTTTCGCCATTGGTGTGGCCCTCTCACTGCTTCTTGCTTGGTTGGACATTTCTGAAGACTCCTTTTAAAGGCGCTCTACTTTATAAGAGCAGCCTCAATGGAGCATGACAGCCCAACCAACGAGACGCTCTTTTACGGCCTTGGATTTTATTAGAAGAAGACCCAACACCTCTGTTGTATGTACCTTGAGGTTTGTATTGCTGTTGGTGTCTTCTCCTAGGAGAGGTTCATCCTCTTTATTTGTCCTGGTGACCACTGTCACAGAGACAGGAAGTGATGGGAAATCCAAAGATCTGAGTTGTTAAAACAAGAGGTGTAGGGGGAATCCTCCAATGGGGACCCCTGTTATGGTGCCAACAGATGGGAATTCTGTCCAGTTTGGAGAGATGTCCTCTCATTTCCTGTTCCTTGGACAGAAAGTGAGGGAAAACCTCCTCAATGGGACGCGGGCAGCAAAATAAACTTGATAGAGGTTAATCCTTCCCTACTTATCTAAAATAAAATACAGGCTAGAAAGTTTTGGTTTTCTGTACAATTCAAGGGTACAAAGTGCTTCCTGAGGGTACAGAAGATCGTTTCACATCTCCTCCTCCCAATTTTTAAGTAGAGGCAGCTGCCTGAGGTCCCGTGCTTGCTGAGGACCTCGGCAGGTTCCTATAAACCACGCGGCCCACATATCTCCTCCTCCCTCCCTTCCTTAGAGGGCTGGCCCAGACCTCATCTTCCTCCCTTCCTTACAACCCCGGTGTTCTGTGAGAATCCTTGAAAGGCCTCACATCTCCTCTTCCTTTCTGGAACAACTCCACCCACACATGCCCGCAAATCAATCTGGACCTCTGGTGGGACCCCACACAGCCCTATAGACCCTGCACAGCCCACTATAGACCCTGCACAGCCCTATAGACCCTGCACAGCCCACTATAGACCCTGCACAGCCCACTATAGACCCTGCACAGCCCTATAGACCCTGCACAGCCCACCATAGACCCTGCACAGCCCTATAGACCCTGCACAGCCCACTATAGACCCTGCACAGCCCACTATAGACCCTGCACAGCCCTATAGACCCTGCACAGCCCACCATAGACCCTGCACAGCCCACCATAGACCCTGCACAGCCCACCATAGACCCTGCACAGAACACCATAGACCTTGCACAGCCCACCATAGACCCTGCACAGCCCACCATAGACCCTGCACAGCCCACCATATATCCCACACAGCCCACCATAGACCGTGCACAGTCCACCATAGACCCAACACAGCCCACCATAGACCATGCCCTGCCCACCTGAGACCCACATAACCCACCATAGACCCTGCACAGCCCACCATAGACCCTGCACAGCCCACCATAGACACAACACAGCCCACCATAGACTGCACAGCCCACCATAGACACAACACAGCCCACCATAGACTGCACAGCCCACCATAGACCATGCCCACCTGAGAACCAGCACAGCCCACCATAGACCTTGTACAGCCCACCCTGCACAGCCCACTTGAGACCCCGAAAGCACTCCTGAGACTCCGTACAGGCTCCTAAGAGGTCCTGAGTCCCTGCACAGCCTCCTGAGACCCCCACGGACCCCACAATCTCAGGTTTAGTTTACTAATTTGTATTGAGATAAAAGATACATTGTTGTTCATAGTTCAGGTTCTGGAATTTATTTTTAGGATTTCTCTCCATAGTTTAGTGTCACGTTCTTTCCGCGTTCTCCCCTCTTATGTCCCATATATATATTTATTACATAAAGCTATTTACATAGCGCCAACAATTTACACAACGCACATTGACATCAGTCCCTGACCTCAAGGAGCTTGTGGTATAGTGGTAGTGCTTCTGCCTTGCAGCACTCGGGGTCCCTGGTTCAAATCCTGGCCAGATCACTGTCTGCTAGGAGTTTGCATGTTCTCCCTGTGCTTGTGTGGGTTTCCTCCCTATATATATATATCACCTGTGTCAGTTATCTCCTCTCAGCTGTGTCCATTATCTCCTGTCAGGTATTCCCTCTCATCTGTCTCAGATATCTCCTCTGAACTGTGTCAGGTATCCCCTCTCATCTGTCTCAAGTATCTCCTCTCACCTGATTCTGTTATCTCCTGTCAGGTATCTCCTCTCACCTGTGTCAGGTATCCCCTCTCATCTGTCTCAGGTATCTCCTTTCACCTGTGCCAGGAATCTCTCAGTGGTATCAGTGCAGTCTCTCCTCTGTCTCTCCGGCCCGTCTGGGATCTCCTCAGCGATGGATCATTTATATGGGATGTTGGGCTCCTGGGGGAGCTCAGCCAGTTGTTGTCACTGTGGGGATCTGGGGACCCTCCTCCGGATAATTGCTCATTATGGAGTGCGGGGAGGAAAGTGATATTTATTGTAATAATATAACGGAGAAAAACAAATATAAATAGATAATATTACTTCCATTATAATTTCTATGATCAGCCCGGTGATCCTGTTCCTCCAAGAACATCACTCAGCCTTCTAATCACACGGTTCTGGGTCACTCCTAAACCCAGAAGAGGCGGAGCTGTTATAGCGGCAAAGGGCGGAGCCAACTCAATACTGAACCCTACGGGCTAAGACTGGGACTGGGACTTTTGGCAATGTCCAAGCAAACTTTTTTTACTGACACATATTGTCACCCAAAGGATGGTGACAATCCTTCATATTGAGCTTGATCAAGGGAACCTGCACGGCCCTGAAAGCATTGCTAATACTGTGCCAACGTATGTCAATAAAAACATTAATTTGACCAGTTCTTCCGGTGTGCTGGTGACATCTTGTTTCTTCATCGATCTGAGCGGTGCCATCCGCAGTCATTTCAGCACCCAACCCAAGGGGTTTGCTGCTAAGGATTGGGGGGCGGGATGCCTATTGGACATGGTGACTTGATGACGCATCCCCAAAAGGTGGGTCCTTGATGCCCTGGGCTCACTTAAATGATGCCTGGTGTCACTTCATCCAGTAGAGTACCAATTCTGGACCATGAAGGTGGACACATTGGGCTTTGAATGGTTGTGACCCTTTACATCAGATTGACTGTCTGAATCAGCGGTCGCCAACCTTTCGGACCTCAGGGACCCCTAAATTCATCATTTTAAATCCCGCGGACCACTAATATGAATTCTTAAAAAATATAGATATATTCTCATATTTTTTGTTTCCTCATATAAAAATATATATACACACACACACACACACACTCCCCTGTATATAACCTGTACCCCTGTATATAACCTGTACCCCTGTATGTTACCTGTACCCTTTTATGTTACCTGTACCCTTTTATGTTACCTGTACCCCTGTACATTACCTGTACCCTGTATGTTACCTGTACCCCTGTATATAACCTGTACCTCTGTATATAACCTGTACCCCTGTATGTTACCTGTACCCCTGTATGTTACCTGTACCCCTGTATATTACCTGTACCCCTGTATGTTACCTGTACCCCTGTACATTACCTGTACCCCGTATGTTACCTGTACCCCTGTATATTACCTGTACCCCTGTATATTACCTGTACCCCTTTACATTACCTGTACCCCGTATGTTACCCGTACCTCTGTATATTACCTGTATCCCTGTATATTACCCGTACCCCTGTATATTACCTGTACCCCTGTATATTACCCGTACCCCTGTATATTACTTGTACCCCTGTATATTGCCTGTACCCCTGTATATTACCCGTACCCCTGTATATTACTTGTACCCCTGTATATTACGGTAATGAGGAAACAAAAGATATGAGAATATATCTATAAATATACATACATACAGTAGGTGCGGGTGTGCCTGCAGGAGTGGGAGTGCTGGTGGAGGGAGGGAGCGGTGCCGCCCGCCCCAGTAATAATATCAGTTGTTTCCCCCCCTAACGAATCTGCCACTGGCCTTGCCGGCGGCACCTGGGGCACATGCCCCCCCTAGCTTCCGCCCTGCCCCCAACCTCCCCTGTGCCTCCCCTTTCCCCACACTGAGCCACTATTACCTGGCTCCTCCCCACTTTTTCTCTGTCCCACAGCCTGCTCAGTCCGGGTACTGACGAGATGCCTCCTGCGGAGCCCGCACTGTACTGAGAGCCACGCATTCCTTGTGACAGCCGCTGCTTGAGTCGGCGAGAGGCAGCTCCCGGAGCCTCCGTGCCGCTTCAATGACGGCCCAGCCTGCACGGCATCAGAGGGGCCCACCAACATTTTCTCGCAGACCCCCCGGTTGGCGACCGCTGGTCTGAATGAAGCACATTTTAACATAGCATTTAGTGGTAAAAAATAACAGCACACTAATAGGCCTTGTGGGTCTTTATAACCATATGTGTGTATAATAAAACCATTTTGGCTTTGGATTCAGTAGGAAATGTTTGGAACCCCTATTGTTTTTTCTATTTCCTGTCCTAGGGACACAACAGGAAATGAGAGGTAATGCCTTCCAAATGAGGGGAATTGCCCACTTAGATAGTTGTCACCAGAACCAGTGTCAACGCTGGAATATTCCCTCCCCCCCATTCCTCTTCCATTGATATCAGGCTTCTCCTTTCATTTTATAGAAGAATTCTGATTTGGGCAACAACTCCAGCTTTGTGTCTCATCGTCCCATATCGGTTTATAACAGATTGAATTATACAACTAAAATGTTTTGTAAACAGGGTGACTTCACAGCAAGCAAAAGAATGTTTTATTAATATAAATATTTACTCCACTACACATTCTTGGTCGGTCTTCCAGTTTTTTTCCATGAAAACATTCAAGTCTTCTCTTCAGAACATCGTTAGAAATCAAAAATAGTTCAATAGTTTGACCCAAGAAAAGTTTTATTGTCTTGGCAAGCGTTGTCCTATTTCATTTCACCACAACCATCTCAGAGTTTCCTTTTCTGGAAGGTCCATTAAAGTCATGACAACGAAGTCCGGAGACTTGTCACTTCGCCGAACAATCTGCAGAGCCTGTTGGAGATGCGCTTTGTTTTAATTCCATAGATTAAAGGGTTAATTACAGGAGGGAACAGGAGGTAGACGTTACCAAAGAGGACGTGAAGGTTGGGGATTGTGCTGTTGGGAAACCTGTGCAGCACAACAAGGCCAAAGATACCAATGTAGAAGACGAGGACAGCACATAGGTGGGAGGCGCATGTACTGACGGTCTTCAGATTGGTCCTCCTTACCTGGGAAACCATTGTCCTTAAAATCAGTAGGTACGAGAAAACGATGGACAGAGAGTCAATCCCTACAACCGGGAGGGCAATAAACAGGCCGTAGATGATATTGACTGTTATATCAGTGCAGGCCAACATCATGACCTCTTGGTGCAGGCAGTAGGAATGGGTCAGGAAATTGCTCTTCCACAAGGGCAACCTCTTGATAAGAAATGGAAGTGGAATCATCCCAGCTGTCCCTCTGACCAACACGACCACGGAGATATTCATGATAGTCCTGTTGTTTAAAATGGAATAGTGTCTAAGCGGGTGGCAAATGGCCATATAGCGGTCTACAGCCATGGCCACCAGTATCCCGGACTCCAGGGCAGACAGGAAATGGATGAAGAACATCTGGATCAGACACATGTTGAAGGTGATCCGTCGACCACCAAACCAGAAGATCCCCAGCATCCGAGGCATGACTGCGGTGGCCATTAGAAGATCCAAAACTGACAGCATTAAAAGAAAGATGAACATGGGTTCGTGAAGCACTCGGTCCACCATAATGATATAAAGAATGGCAGAGTTCCCCAGAATGGCCACAACGTACATTGAGATGAGAGGAAAACCAAGCCAGAAATGTAAGTCATCCAGATGAGGTATTCCGCTCAGAGTGAAATCTTCAATGCCTTTGCATGTTGAGTTGTCTGTCGCCATGACGACCTGTGTGCCACCGCGTCCAATCACAGAGGCCACATCTTCTCCTTAAACCAGAATGGCATACAGTAGGTGGATCAAATGTATTTAAACTTGGCTAGGCTTGTAGGACCATCTTCTACTTGGTGAATGTTTTTAGGACTTCCCAACATTTTGAATATTCAGGGACATTTTGTTGAGGAATATTTGGCCCAGGCTCACCAAAACAGAAGTCCCACCAGCAGATGCATTAGATATACTTTGCACAAGAACTCATATACAAGTGCTCCATACCCATCCTTCCATCAGTAATATTTGTCCTCCACTCTTCCTTTTCTTGCAGGTTATATCTTTCTGTTATGTGTAAGTCGCATTTCCAACTCGTACCATTTACTTCATTGCCTACCTTATGAGGAATCTGGTCATTTCACTCCGGTCATCTTATTAGGAGCTCCCGGCTGTAAAATAATAATATAAAAAGCATGAAGTTCTGGCCAACCATTTATGAGGGAAAATTGCCAGAGCTTTGGGTTTTGTAAGTTTTAAAAATGATATTTAATGTAAGTTTGTTTTGATACATTAACATCCTTTCTTTTACATATAAACATTTAAGTTTGGGTTTGCCCATTACATAGGAGTCACAGTGCAGTATGGGTTAGCTAAGGAGACAAAATAGCAAAAGCCCCTGCTTTGAGGTTTGCTGTGTCTGACTGAAACGTCATGAAATGTGTAGTGAATCACCTGCATTCCATACAGCATTGCGACCTTCAAAAGGTGGTGCTCGAAGTGATGACATGGATGGCGCCGCGTGGAACTTGATCCTCAGCGACATATAATCACCAGCACACACGTAACGTATTCTTAAGCCATTCTCGTATTTATTGATACATTGTCTCATATCACCATAAATACCCACTTAGGGTTCCTTCTTCAGGGCCACGAGGCCCCTTTTTCAGGATATGTCAACCTATAGAAGGGACCCTACGTGGCCCTGAAATGTTGGTATTTATGAGTACGAGTACCGATATTTTTTATCGATGCTCGCCGATAACGAATCCCGAGTACCGGAAGTCCCCAAGTCGTCATTCACGTGTAATGACTCGCCACCCGGCTTCACGATTAGCAGGGAAGCCGTCCCCATGCTTCTTGTCACTAGGTGACGAGAAAGCATGGAGCCGTCTTTCTGGCCAATCAGGAAGCCGGGCGCCGTGTAATGACGTGGTGCCCGTCTTCCTGATTGGCCCGGAAGCCGACTCCATGCTCCTTCGTCATGAGGTGACAAGGGAGCATGAAGCTGGCTTCCTGGCCAATCAGAAAGCCGGGTGCCATGTCATTTCACGTTTCCCAACTTCCTGATTGGCCGGCTTCCCGAACAATCAAGAAGTCATTAAACATTGCCTGGCTTCCCGGCTAATCAGGAAGCCGGGTGGTGAGTCATTACACGCCGCCTGGCTTCCTGAATACCGATACTAGTATCGGTATTGGTGCATCCCTAGAAACTTCAGACACAACCATAAGGATGGAGGGGAGAAAACAAGAGGAGCCACTGTTCTGGGAGGGAAGGGGGAGGAGTCCCTGCTCTTGAAGGGGGGTCACTGATCTGGAAGGTGAAGGAGTCACTGCTCTAGAAGGGAAGGGGGAGGGATCACTGCTCTAGAAGGGAAGGGGGAGGGATCACTGCTCTAAAAGGGAAGGGGGAGGGATCACTGCTCTAGAAGGGAAGGGGGAGGGATCACTGCTCTGGAAGGAGAAGGGGGAGAAGTCTCTGCTCAAGAAGGGAAGGGGGTCACTGTTCTGGAAGAGAAGGGGAGGAGTCACTGTTCTGGAAGGGGAAAGCGAAGAAGTCTCTGTTCTTGAAGGGGGAGACGTCTCTGCTCTGGAAGCGGTGGAGTCTCTACTCTGACTTATTCACCTGAGAGATCCAACTCTGAGCAGATCAAAAACAAATGTGTAGATACTATGTGTGTGAAGGTTCTCATGTATCTCAGTTGTGGCAAAGCTAGGAATAGTTATATCCATTTATGGATACTTTGTGGCACCAAAACCTTCTCTCTGATACCTGAAGCATGTTGCCTCATGGCCTGGGTGGCTTGTTATCAGAGATGGACCAATAAATGCCAAACTGCATCCGGGAATTTCTAGGCAATTAAATATGATATTTAAAGTCAATAAGAAGTTGTTTTCTATAAGTTCAAAATGGGGGGGGGGGATCTGTAATTTAGACTGGCCAAGTGTAAGTCCTGACCTCAATACCATTGAAATGCTGTGGTGTGATTAGAAGCATGACATTTAATTATGGTATCCAAAGAGTAAATATGACCAGAAACAGTTGTGTGTTCAGGAATGTGCCACGGTACCCCCCCCTCCTCCCCCGCCCCACACTGCTATGTGCTTCCGATCACCAGCTACTGATTGTATTAGGAAGAGGTCATTGGCCACAATGGAGGTTCAGTTCCATTAGTGACCAAGTATAATCACAATGTGTTCAGTACAGATAAGCCAGCGCTAGTGATAGATATGATAGATATGGTCTTCATACCATGCAGATCGCGTCAGTCTTCTGCGCTCTCTTTAGAGGTCCAACAATTGACCCCAGACATGAGATGCATGGTGCACAGACCACTTCTATAGGGACCATTGGAGTCTGGGTACGGCTTTCAATGCTGCACCCGTCTATGTGCCAATCCTGGGGCCGAGGAGCGGTCACTTGTTTCTTTAAAGCCATGGCCGTGTAATTTGCTGTGTGTGTGCTATCTGTGAGATCTTCATATGACTCCCACGAAGCCTTCTAGGAGCCTCTGGTGGCACAAAGCCAGAAAATTCCTCAGGGACCGCTAATATTTTTCTCAGCTGTATAAAGAAAGTTGGGAGCCAAAAAAGTTTTGCCGTTGAATAAAAAAAAAAATTCTTCATCGGAAAAATGTCAGAGAAAGAAAACAATCTCATGCTGGTGCACCCACCTATGTGTGTGTGTGGGAGAGTACATCTAGAGACGTGGAGGAGGGAAGGGGGACATTGTGTGAGACAAGACATGACAAGTGTCAGTAAGGCCGCCCACATCGCAACCCTTCACCCAGCAATCTCTAGAGCAGAGCTATAAGTCCCACGAGGCATTGCAAGACTAATAGTTATAGAGGCATGTTGGGAGTTGTAGTTAAAGCATAGCTGGAGGGCCAGAGTTGCCCAACCCCTGCTCTAGAGCAATCCTTTCTCAACCAGGGTCCCTCCTGAGGTTGCTAAGGGTTCCTGGAGCAATGAATGACTCTCAAGTAGCCACTGGCACCAATGGACAGTTTATCTATCTGTAAAGGGGGGCAATCTGTGAACTGACCACCATTGTAAGAGGAGCATTGTTCCTACAGACCACCAATGAAGGACACTCCACCCAATGACCATCAATGTAAGAGGAGCATTGTTCCTACAGACCACCAATGAAGGACACTCCACCCAATGACCATCAATGTAAGAGGAGCATTGTTCCTACAGACCACCAATGAAGGACACTCCACCCAATGACCATCAATGTAAGAGGAGCATTGTTCCTACAGACCACCAATGAAGGACACTCCACCCAATGACCATCAATGTAAGAGGAGCATTGTTCCTACAGACCACCAATGAAGGACACTCCACCCAATGACCATCAATGTAAGAGGAGCATTGTTCCTACAGACCACCAATGAAGGACACTCCACCCAATGACCATCAATGTAAGAGGAGCATTGTTCCTACAGACCACCAATGAAGGACACTCCACCCAATGACCATCAATGTAAGAGGAGCATTGTTCCTACAGACCACCAATGAAGGACACTCCACCCAATGACCATCAATGTAAGAGGAGCATTGTTCCTACAGACCACCAATGAAGGACACTCCACCCAATGACCATCAATGTAAGAGGAGCATTGTTCCTACAGACCACCAATGAAGGACACTCCACCCAATGGCCACCATTGTAAGAGGAGCATTGTTCCTACAGGCCACCCAATGAAGGACACTCCACCCAACGACCACCATTGTAAGAGGAGCATTGTTCCTACAGGCCACCCAATGAAGGACACACAACCCAATGACCATCAATGTAAGAGGAGCATTGTTCCTACAGGCCACCCAATGAAGGACACACAACCCAATGACCATCAATGTAAGAGGAGCATTGTTCCTGCAGACCACCCAATGAAGGACACTCTACCCAATGACCACCATTGTAAGAGGAGCATTGTTCCTACAGACCACCAATGAAGGACACTCCACCCAATGACCATCAATGTAAGAGGAGCATTCATTACATTGACCACTAACAAGACAAACACATTCCACTGGGGATCTTTCTCCCTGACCACCTGTGTAAATGGTTCCTTTTCCCACTCACCACCAATTTAACGGAGTCTGTCTCCACCCATCATCTATGTAAGGGAGCAGTTCACTGACCACCAATATAAATAGGGCACTTCTCTGCTGACCACAAATGTGCGGGGGCATTTTGCTGACCATCAATATAAGGGGATATTTCCTGACCACATATATGGAGGGGGGGGGGGATTATCCACTGACCACCAATGTAGGGGGCATTTCACTGATGACCAATCTAAGGGTGGACTTCAATGACCACCAATATAAGGGTAATGTCTAAACTGACCATCAACAGAGGTGGCGCCCACTGACCACCAATATGAGGGAACTTTCACTGTCGGCATTTCTTTTCAGGTGATGATTATTCTTAGTTTCATTTCATTATTATTATTACTAAGTATCATTTTGTTGTATAAAGCAGCTCTGTGAGATTAAACATACTAACACCCCTATTAAGACTGCAGCATGCGTACCCGGGGAAGGCCGGAGTTCAGATTTAAAGTTGGGGTAAGTTAAACAAGTATTATTACCCATCAACACACTCATCTGTGTCAGTTCTCTCTCAGTGGTGTCACTTCTCTCAGTGGTGTCACTTCTCTCTCAGTGGTGTCAGTTCTCTCTCTGTGGTGTCACTTCTCTCTCTGTGGTGTCAGTTCTCTCTCAGT